AGAAATTTGGAAAAAACTATATCAGAAATACGGCAGCAATCTTTTTCAAGGCAATCTGCCTAATTAACATTGCGCAAATACCTGTTACTTCGTAATTATTTAAAACTCCGGTAACCATAATAAGATAGAGAAGGATTAACGGTAAATTCAAAAATATTTCTTGACGAAATGTCAACCTGTTCTCATAACCTCGAATATTGGTGTAAAAATAAACCATACAACACTAAACATTTGAATGATTAACTCCAAACAACCTAGTGCCTGTGTAATCTCCTTATTATCCACTCTTATTAAGCAGCTTCTCGTATTCAGTTAATTAACTCCTGCTCCATTTGTATCTCCTTGTGCTGTGTGGATCGCACAAACGTAGTAGGAATGTATCCCGTCCTCGGTATTTATTTGGTGCTTGGGAAAGTGACAGTTATTGTGCTCTGAGAGACCCTGGAAGACCCCATGATCGATTATGTCCAATACTTGTTCCTCTGTGCCTGGAACCCGAACCTCTATTGCCGTCCACTATCTTCCTGGAACCACTCTCCTCGCCCTTTGTTGGCGTGAGTTCTTTCAGCTTCTTCCATGTTACTGTAGCATTTCCGCTGAACTAATCGCGTATCCGCAAATTCGTGAAGGGAAATTCAAAGTAAGTCACAGTTTGACAATTTATTGTTTTTATTGAGAAGAGCTATCCACCTGTAACTATCTGTTAATGACAAAAAACATTAATGCCGCTGTGACTTTTCATCAAAAAATTGTAGAAGAGAACTTTTTTGATATCGAAAATTTTCGTAATTTGAAGCAAAGATCGTAATTCTTCTTTTTGAATGCTTAAGTATTCCAATATGCTACCAATTAAACATGGAACAATTTCAAAATAATGCTTAATGACAAAGTTGAAATTTGATCTTCAACTGTTAATGTCTGCTAGAAATAAAAAAAAAATTCAATATTTTTCTCGTTCTCTCCAAGTGAGAATTTGAATTATAAGTTAAATTATACGAAGTCCTAATAGAAGTCGCCTTTTTACTTTTACTTATATTATTTTCTTTCTTGAGCTCCAGTCACAGTGTGAAATATTTTTTTTACATATCGTTTGTTTCGTTACGTTTTGGCGAGGCAACAGCGCCATCATCAGATTTGTTAATGTATGCTAGAAATAAAAAAAAAATTCAATATTTTTCTCGTTCTCTCCAAGTGAGAATTTGAATTAGAAGTTAAATTATACAAGTCCTAATAGAAGTCGCCTTTTTACTTTTACTTATATTATTTTCTTTCTTGAGCTCCAGTCACAGTGTGAAATATTTTTTTTGCATATTGTTTGTTTCGCTACGTTTCGGCGAGGCAACAGCGCCATCATCAGATTTTAAAATACATTCAAACCCATAATTGGGAAACATTGTATTCACTTAGGTCTTTGCTGTCTTGTACCTTCAATTTGTTTCTTGTTATTTTTAATATGCAACTATTTCTGGCGACAATTCTTCGAAGATTCTTAAGAAAATGGCACAAAAAAGTTTTTAACATAATTTAAACGTTCAAGTGCTCAGGCTTGTATAGCTCCATTGTAAGAAAATTATTAATTATTTGTTTCATTTTTGTTCAAATTAGTATAAAAATGTACGTTATGTGTGAAAGAGTCTTATTTCTTCTTCATCTATGCCATATAACGGGCTATCCAATTCCAGGTTATGAAAGTAAAACCTTGATATTTGGTATCTGTCAAAGGTAAATGTCACCCGAAGCGTTTTGATTTAATTGAAGATTTGCTATTTTGGAATATGGATCGTTTGACTGTCGAAGAGCGCGTAAAAATGATTAAATGTTACTATAAAAATGGTGATTCTGCTGTACTGTATGAACGTTTAGGGGTTTACGAGCAGATTACAGTCGACATAATCGACCCACAAAGCCAACTATTTGGAACACAGTGGACTAATTTGAAGACTGGATTGGTTGCTGATCTTGTAAGGCCTGTGCATCATCGCAACATTCATTCAGCTGATAATGTCGCTCTTGTTGCTCAACGTGTGGAGGAAAACCCGAATTCGTCGATTCCCCGACGTGCTCAACATTTTGGCTTGTCTTACGGCTTTTTGGTGCGGATTGTGCAATTGGATTTGAAGCTCCAACCGTACAAAGTCAAACTGACTCAAGAACTTTAGCCTCAAGACCATGGGCAACGCAGGACATACATAAATTGGGCGAATGAACAACAAGCCGTTGACGATGATTTTTCGAGGCGATGAGGCTCATTTTTTGCTCAGTCGTTACGTGAATAAACAGAACAGCCGTATATGGAGCACTCGAAATCTTCAGGCGGTTGCAGGAAGGCCTTTGCATCCTGAAAGAGTGACCATATGGTGTTATTGGTCCGTATTTTTTTGTCAACGATCAAGGAAGACTCATAACAGTTAATTCTCAGCGCTATAGACGCATGTTAACCGAAATTTTTTAAAGAGAAATTGAAGAGTACGATTTGGAAGACATGTGGCTCCAGCAGGATGGCGCAACGAGTTACATAACACTGGCAGTTAGAGCCCTATTGCAAGATAAATTTCCGCCCGCAAGATCCTGTGACTTCACAGCGTTAGATTTCTTTTTGTGGGGCTATGCGAAAGATCATTTTTACTCCAACAATCCTCAAACTCTTGAGCAACTGAAAGCCGATATTCGTGAAGTTATGACCAAGATATTACCGATAATTTGCCCAAAAGTCGTTGAAAATTACCTCAAAATGATTGAGGCCTGTAGGAGGTCTCGTGGAGGACATTTAATTGGGTGGTTTAATTGATCGCACTATACGTGCCTTAATTCAACTTTGCCATATTGATTGCTGCGTTTTTAGAATCACAAAAATTAATTTATTGCTATTAATGTGTCTTGTAGCCGCCTATCAATTTCCCTGATCTATTATCCTGTGGTTTAGTGCAGTTGAAGCGTAAATACATCTTAAAAACATTGATTTCCGTACCCAAACCGATCACCGCTGGACCTCAAAATTATCTCAATAACTACAAAGACAAATCGCGTATAAACTACAACTCAAAAAGTAAGAATTAACGACCTAAGTACAGTCGGCGAAACACAAAAGTAGACGATTAAATAGTTGTGCAAATTTGACTTTCTACCTCGATCTACCTTTGCGTAACCGATATATTACTGACAAAAAAATTATTATTATCAAAATGACACATTTAAAAGGATTTGAAAAAATCGAATATTTAACTTAATCGAGCAAGGATAGTCAACAAAAACAGCAGATGAGAGATTTGGAAAACCAAAGAGCACAATTTATAAAATTGTAAAGAAATAATATAACTTAAAATCAGTTTGTGACATATATTATATGTATATTTGACGTATTTTAGAAAGCCTGAGTTACCAAATTATAAGTCGTCTACATTCATGTGTCGCCAACTGTACATGTAAAGAATGCAACTGGTATACGGTTTTAATAATTACGAGTCAAAATTTATTGTACGAAAATGCATTAAATTTCTAACACTCACAGGAAGCCAGTGGGACTTTTACCAGCTAAATACAAAAGAAATTGGTTGAAAGTTTTCAAAACAAGTAACAAGTTCTAACTTCTTGAGGGGAAAGTTTTACTTGAATATTATTTTGGTTGCTTTAGAAAATAACAAAATCTGCTGGCAGCGAAACGCGGTGGGACTAAATATGTCATAAAAAGTTATTCCCGAACTAAAAGTTTGTATCGAGAGAACATGGAAAAGACTGCCTTAAGTGGCTCCATTTGATATACGTAAATATCGGAAGTAAATATAACTCGATTGCTTTTTAAACTAATTTCGTTTCAGGGTCACTAATGGAAATAATTAGCGCACCATCAATAAATTTCAAAGAAAACATATTATAAACCCTACATACTTTTATCAAAACTCAAATTAATACAGGTTAATTCAAAATTGGCGTCATTCCTTTTAAGGGGTGATAGAGGCTTACTTGGGTGGTACGAGAAATATATATAAAAAAATGTTTTCGAAAATTTATAGAAGATATTAACAGTTGAAGATCGAATTTCAACTTCGTTATTAAGCATTATTTAGAAATTGTTCCATGTTTAATTAAAATTTAAAATTACGTTCGTTGCTTCAAATTACGAAAAATTTTGATATCAAAAAAGTTCTCTTCTACAAGTTTTTGATGAAAAGTCACAGCGGCAATGACGTTTTTTGTCATTAACAAATAGTTATAGGTGGATAGCCCTTGCCAATAATAACAATAATTTGTCAAACTGCGACTGACTTTGAATTTCCTTTTAGGAATTTGCGGATATGCGATTAGTTCAGGGGAAATGCTACAGTAACGTAGCAGAAGCTGAAGGAACTCACGCCAACAAAGGACGAGGAGAGTGGTTACAGAAAGATAGTGGACGGCTATCGATTTTCGGGCTCTAGACACAGAGTAACAAGTATTGGACATGATCGAATCAGGGCCTTCCAGGAGTACTCAGAGCACAATAACTTACACTTTCCCAAGCACCAAATAAATACCGAGGAAGGGCTACACTCCTACCACGTTTGTACGATACACACAGCACAAAGAGATACAAATGGAGCAGTGAGGAGGATTGATAAGGAGATTGAGGCGCTAACTTGTTGATGATAAGAGGCACTAACTTGTTTCGAGTTAACCATTCAGATGTTTAGTGTTGTACGGATTATTTGTAAACAACAATCCCCGCAGAATTCGAGGTTATGAGAACAGGTTGACATTTCGAAAGTACGTTCCGCAGTCAACAAATTTTGATGAATTTACCGTTTATCCTTGTCTATAATAATAATTGCGAAGCAACGGGTATTTGCGCAATGTTAGTTAGGCAGATTATATTGAAAAACATTGCTGCCGTATTACTTATATAGTTTTTTGGAAATTTCTGAGTTTTTAATAACAATTAATTTCTTTTACTATTTTTTCTGTACTCCTATAACATCGCCAGACAACACTTCCAGATGAATGACGCCAATTTTGAATCACCCTATATGAGAAAATTTTCGAAAGAAAAATTAAAACAAAACATGAATCACAAGTTTATCAGATTCTTGGTAAAAAGTTATGAAAAATAAATTTTGAAATTTAGGTAAAGTTTCCGGCTTTAACCGATTTAATAGCATGTATTGCCGCCTCCAGCTCCAATAACGTCCCTCAAACGCCTTGGTCTCACATGCCATAAAAAAGGTTTGTAATTAATTCTTGAGGTATGTTGTGCCATTCTTGAAGAACCGCGCTTTCCAGTTCAGTCAAGTTCTCAGGAGTAGGATCTTGTCGTCGAATAAATTGTATCAAAAGGGTCGTTTCAGCTGGCCACACTAAAACTAAACGATCAGAGTTCGGTGCGATCTGGCGTTATCATCCATAAAGTAATTGTCGCCTATGTGAGGTGCAAAAGGTACGACATGGTTTTCTAAAATCTTACTGATCTACTTAGAATTACCATAGGGTCCCTACAGGCCTCCAAAGGAATGCCACCTCAAAACATTATTGAGCCACCACGGAAAGCCAGTTGGGGAACCATACTAATACAAAAAAGTACAAATAATTTACTAATGTTAATACATACAAATATGTTTACACACGTCACAAGATTAGATTGGATTAGATTTTTTACATTAAAATCCGAATATTTTGTCAGTAGGGAGCAATATGAAATGACAAGTGACTTAGCTATTAAAATAAAATTTTAACACCTAAAGCAAATCAACATTGACGTGTCACAACTTAGTTGCAAGCTAAAACTTTAAAATTAAAGTTAGTGGGGTAGTAATCCTCAAGAGAGTAAAAACATTTTCTCCAATAAAGATACTCACAGCACTGCCCTATTGAATGCTCTGTCACCACGTGGCAAGTTAAATGCCTTAGGACCATAATAGTTGGCTCCAGTCTTCGTTTTATTAAGTCTGTAAAAATCAGGTACTATATTGATGTTGGTGCGAGTACCATGTCGATGGACTTTGGCAAGCCGATATAGGAGCTTTCGTTAGATTTAACGTGGACCAGACATTGAAAAATATAGAGACTGGGCAAAGTCAAAATATTTAGCCAACAAAACGCCGGACGGAAATCCTCCTGATATTCCAGGCCATCCACCACAACAACAGCTATTCTGGGAAGTGAGAAGATTCTGGAAGCCGAAGAGGCATGTCCCCATATAAGTAGGGAGTAAAGGATCGTTTATAGTTGGTAACTTTGATGGCGGAAAGTTCTGGCCGCTAGTAAACATGACGTATGTAAACCGACGGAAAGGGTCCTTGTTACTTGCCGGGAAGTGGCAAGTTGAAGTTGGAAGGCCGGCTGGTTTAGTGGCCGCCTTTCCTGTGTCTACTTGCTGGTCTACGCGTAAACTGTGTGAAAGTGATTTGGAAAAGCGTTTTAGCAAAATGAAAAAATGAAATAGTGATCTAATTATTTAATTTTTGAATGTTTATGAAAAATATGAAGTATTATTAGACATGAGATGAGAGCAAAGATCACATGAATAATATTAAAAGAGATACCGCATTCGCAAAATTCTTGGGAGAATTGTTATTTGTGGAGGGATTTGCAAATCCCGATTTGATGACGTTAAAAATTAAACTAAAAACAATGAAAACAGTATACCGGAAAGAATTGAATAAAATTTTAAAATCAAAGAAAAGTGGAAGCGGTACAGATGACTTGTATAAACCAAGACTGATTTGGTACACCTGAGTTGATGCTCTTTTAAATAATGCAACAATCAGCAGAACTTCTACCAACAACATGGTACGTATGGTACTGTAACAACACAAACTTTTTTATTAATTTATTATTATACCCCTCTTATCAAGCCTCGAGGCACTTGAACTTGCGAAATAATAACATCAGTATAGATTTTTCATTATAATCCAGTCATTCTGTTTTGCCAAGTTACGGAGCCCTGTCCAGGAAAGTAATTAGCATACATATACGTCACGCAGAAAGCCTGCAGTTTGGGTGTAATTATTGACTCTTAGATGAGTGAGTGATGGTAGTGACTCGATTTCTGGATGCCATGAGCCACCTATAACTACTCCTGCATCAATATCTTCTTTGTCAACTGAACCTTGTGGTTATTTTACTTTGACCGGAGCTGCATATTTTCACGAAATTTGGTACACAGGGGTATTTGAGCATACAAAACCCAAATGTACCATCAGATTTTGATCAACTTGTAGAAAAAGCCAGTTGCGGCGATATCTGGGCAAAAAAATGGTTTTAACTTTTTGGTCACCCGGTGTGCTGACTTCTAAAATGATTGTGTCTAATCGCCTATTAATTTTTCACAAAAAAGGTATTTTTAGTCGATATCCCAACAAGCCTCTGTTTACGAAATATTTGCGATTAAACTGCAAAATGCAGAATTGTGAGGACATTTTACAATGCATGTCAAGTAGTGTGACGCAGCGACACGGATTTACTTGGTGTCTATCAAAGTGACACTAGTGCCTCTACATACTTAAGTTTCGATTTCAATTAGTTAACATGCCAAGGTATAATTTTTTAGTTCAGCAAAATTTTAGTGGACGCAGTGCCAAACTGCGTTACTTAGAATTGTATCCCAATAGGAGGCAACCGAATTTCAAGTTATTTGGAGACATCTAAAGTTCATTAGGGGAAACTTTAGGACTAAAGTTAATACCTTGGGACGTCCGAAAATTTCAACTCCAGATCAAGAGAAAGGCGTTCTGGTTCGTGTTGGAGAAAATCCAGAAATAAGCACAAGACGATTGGAAACTGCAACTGGCCTAAGCAAGTCCTCAGTTCATAGGATTTTTCAGCAAGAAAATTTCCATCCTTGCCATTTTACACCTGTAAAGAATTTGTTAGAGGACGATTTTGCTAGAGCCGTTAGGTATTACCTAAACCAACATTGTACAAATCGGTGGATAGGTCGTGGAAGTTCTTGGGCTTGGCCGGCGCGAAGTCCTGACTTTAACCCATTAGATTTTTGTGTTTGGGGTTATTTAAAATCATTAGTGTACGATCAAACGGTAGGCACCCGAGATAAGTTGATAAATAAAATTATGAATGCCGCCGGATGATTTCGAAATGAAAATCTGTTTTTTTTTAAATAGACGCATTAATTATAATTAAATAGACGCATTTAATGCTCAAACGCATTTCAAAATGTATTGAAGTTAACGGGGGACAATTTGAGCAATTGCTGTAGAAAATAAAAGTTTCGTTTGTCAGTGAGTCAGTTAAGTCAGTCAAGTTAAGCTGTTCATAAGCAGCCTCATTGGTATTGAAATGAACGTTAAAGTCCTCTGCTATCACCATTCGCTTACCAGGCCCCAACCTTGTAAGCAAGCCCTCCAGCAACTCTCTAAAAGTGTCAAAACAGCCTGAAGGAGATCTATAGAGATTTGAGATATAAACCCTCAAGTTTTCGACATATACACAACACGATTACATACATTTTTGAACATTAAAACCCACATTGACATCTTTGGAAGGTAAAAAATATTTGGTGAATAAGGCAGTGCCACCACCAATTGACTCACTTCTCGAGGAGAAACCACTAAGTGAATACCCTTGTATTTGGATCACCTCTAATTCTTCCTTGGTCAGCCAGTGCTCCGTCAGACAAATGATGTCAATGTCCCTGTCTGCAACAAAAGCTTCGATTTCATCAGTCTTCCTCCTCAATGAACGTACATTAATGTTGAGGATTCTTATGTTTTTCTGTGATGGATTGCTGTCACCATGCTTTGGTTCTGTAGATTCCGAAAATGGTTTATAACTGATCCTCTTGGCCATAAGCTAGATGTCAAATATGTATGTACATCCTCCAGCTCCAGCACTGCTAGTCGGAAAGAGCTGCAGTATTTTAGGTTTTTTGTTTTCATTTTCTCACATCGGCAGTTTTCAGGTAGGTTATTCGCTTTAGGAAAATCCGAAACATTATCACAGGTCACTTCAGGTGCTAGACCGGACAGGAACAAGAATGCAATTCTCATTACTGTCTTCAGGTTGGAAATATTTTCACTCTGTCCCCTGAGAGGCTCCGGGCGCTTTGTGTTGAAAACAGTCTTTGTTTGTTTATGTTTAGACCTAACCTGCACCCATTCCCCTTTTCGTCAGCATTAGTATTGCGCCTAACATCGACATTGGATGATCGATTCTCGATGTGAGAAACGATATCAGACACATCTCCAGGATTCGTGATTTCGGTACTGTGCACCTTAGGCGGCGCGGGTTTGACAATTACTTTGCTGGTACTCTTGTTGCTCGGTCCACCACTAGACGGCGCCGTATGGGCGAATTCTTTATTTTTGTTACTTTTCATTTTTTCTTCTAGAAAAATTACTTTTTCTTTTAATAACTTGCTGTTTTCTTCTAAAATCTGATTCTTACTCTGAAGTTCTTTTACTAGCATTCTCAGAAGCTCTATTTCCATATCGTCTTCTTCCTTGTTGATATTCGTACTTTTCTTTTTTCTAACCTTGTCGGCGTCATGAATACATTCAGGGTTTTTCTGCTTTGAAGACTGAACTAAACACGACGGGTGGAAGCAATTAACGCACTTTTTACAATTCACTACTTCGACGACACTATTCTTACAATGATAACACCCGTTTACCACCTTTTTCTCGTTCTTATTAGGAGCTAAATTTTCGTTGACATCACGTCAGCCATCTTTTTTTCCTTCTGATAGATAATAATGTTAGACTAAAAATACTGAATTAAATCATCACCAAAACTGAGCAATTTTTTGCTGATCTGAACGATTATGGTTCCTGAAGAACTGAACCGTAATTCTTACACAAGAAATATGATAAGCACAACCATCAACGAACACGCAACTAAAAATATTTTCCGTTGGCAAATGGTTACCGAAACTGCTGCAACTGGATAAATGGTACGACGGTTCCGCGTCGGTTCTGTGCTGGTGCGAACCACCTTTTAGGGTTTATGGGACGGTTCCAAAAGTGACCGGTTAAATTGGCAAACTGCTGCAACTGGATAAATGGCTCGACGGTGTCGTATCGTTTTTGTGCTGGTGCGAACAACTTCCTCCGGTTTATGAAACGGTTCCAAAAAGCATTTCTTTAACTGGCTTTGTAACTGCGGTTACAGGTTACACTTAATCCCTTCAACAGGTTTTATAAAGCAAGTTATTTAATAAGATAATCTAATTTAATAGAAAAGGGATGTAAAAATTATCAAATGCAACTCAAGTATATTGGTTAAATTCATCTAAATCAGATTTCACAAATAACGTTGAAAACCTGTACATACTGCTGATATGCAGGTATTGTAAAAAAAATATTTTCTAATTTCAAAAGCGCAGAAAGTCTTTCAGCAATACTGGGATATTAATTCCGTCCAAGCTTGATATGTGCAGCCATCAATAACTCACGGGTCTTTAAAGCAAATTTGACATTGGAGTATACGGCCAGACAACGTAAAATATGATGAAGGACTAACTATCCCACAATTGAAAGGATCTCCGCTATTTGGTCCTATAATAAATTATAATTTTTATTAAATCATTTTGTGAAGGTTTTTTGAGCAAAGACAGAATAAAGCATATGAGGAAGATTGAATATACGAGTAGGACACGACCTTTCGCCCATTTTTCCTACTTTACAAAGAAAACGGAATATATTGAAAGGAAATTTAGGCAATATTGCGAAAACTTAAAAAATTAGAATATTATTATTAAAAACTAGAAAATGAAACAAATAAAAAAAGGGCGCCGTCGTCGTCTAAAACGTCGTCGTATATCGGCCTTTTTCGTGTTGGCCGCGGCTTTCACTGTCTGTAGTTCATTGCGACAGGGCCGGACCCACAATGTTGGCATCAATTATTAAGTTTGAACTTCCAAATTTACTTGCTAAAAAAAAATGTAGCAATCTAAAGATACAACGGTTAAACATTTAGGTAAATAAATGGATGTTTAGGTAATCGGCATTGCGAAAATAAATACTATCTGCTTAAGCGCTTAGACACAAAATTACTTTCTCACTTTTTTACACAGGAATGTTAAGATGTCAAACATTGCCAATTGAGCATTGATGTCCTACCTATCCAAAATTAGGAAAAAATCAGGTTCACGACTTGCGAGAATTTTTAAAAAATATTTCAATTTTCTTCTAAAAAAATGTATTATTTGCGGTTAAATACATCTAAAGTTGGCCTAAAGTATGATAATTCTAAATATTTTTCCACATTTAAATGTATGTGGCGTTTACATAAAGTGTAAACAAAAATTGCATATTCGGCTTTCAAACCCTCATAACGTTCCAGTTTTCTAATCGAGTTTGGTTTTCTCAACCGTAATTTTTAGGGAACATCAACGCGGTTTTATTTTGTTCAACGAAAGTGCGATGTTCGTATCTGGAAATGCTTGTCTGTAACTTAAATCCTTCTCAAGTTTGCCTAAAGTCTAAAATATTAAATTTTTTGCGCGATTTTTAATCGATTTGAATTGCCTAAAAAACCGGTTTTACAGAAGAATTGATATTATGTTGCTTTTGCTGAATTTTACAACTCAACCTGAGGCTAGTATTAAGAGAAATGCGCATAATGTCGCTCTTATTTCGCCTGACAAGAGTATTGGAAATACCTCGTAAATGTTATCATTCCTCTTTGTCAGCAAAAAGGAGAAAAGCCATAATCTATGTTTATATTCAGAGAATTCGACTCGTAATTTTGAGTCGCTGATCTAAGCATAAATGGTTAAGATCAACCGAATCATATCGATGAATTTCAGTCTAATAAGAGAGCCTTAAAGAACTTCTTGTATCAACAACATAATAAAATGCGTTCTGCTTGTGTTGAGATAAATACATAGTAGTAGATAAGTTCTATATTGTTGAGGCAGATTCAATTTTTTACAAACTTCTTGTTGGGTATTTCGCCTCAAAAATTTTTGCCTTTAAAGAAGACAGAATTTCCTCACGTCTTCTATTACAGATTGATAAATAGTGCTCCTATTTCGCAATAAGAACGAATTATTTATCAAAAAGTAATCAAGAA